TAATTTCCAGGTATGATGGAAGACTTTTCTTCCTCTTAGATGTCTCACTAAGAGGAGAGCATAATGGCCCCCAGAAAATCAAGCTGACTGGATGCCACTAGGAAGTTACTTTCCCAGTCTGTATCTTCCAGGGCAGAGCATTAAATTTTTTTTCCTCCAATGTATATTTTTATGGAAGACAAAGATCTGAATTCTACTGATCAGGAGAGATGGTGAATTAGAATGAATCTCATCTTCAGTGCTACTGATTTTGTTCAGGAAGCTAACCTCCAGATAGTCACAGTATCCTTGGTAAGACATTGGAAATCTCAATTCATTTGATGAAACATGCAAGTTAGGAATAATTATGAAAATATATTTGCATAATGTGAAGGAATCTTAAGTGCATGTGAAAATACATTCAAAATGCCACAAAGTATTAACGGAACATATTGTCTGTTTCTGTTTTCTTCTACGAGTCATTTGTTCTTTATTTATTTTGTTTTCTACAAGTTCTCAGTGGATAATTGCTACCAAGCTTCTAAATTTGAGAACAATTTAGGAGAGAATAAAGAAAATTTTATCCAATATTGTGTATGTATTAGTATTTGGTAAAAAATTAATTTAATTTTAGCAGCAGGACACCTTGTTCAGGGTAAAGAGAAAGGGCATTATTTGAAAACTACTAATTTGAAAATCATGGAGGAGGATCATATAGGAAATTCTCCTGAAATGGCAGAAACCTTCTCTTTATCTTCTGCCTGCTGGTCATTCTTTATTCCATCCCCCGGGGAACTGCATCTGAACCCTCGTTGCCTCACTCTGTAATGGAAAAGCAGAAGAGGAAAACATAGTCAATTAAAACTTTAAGATCTAGTCTCAGCTGCATCATTACCTGCTGACTTTGGGCAAGCCAAAGATTGTTTTTGCTTTATTTTTCTTGTGCACAAGATAGAAATACCTTCTTGCTGACATCACATGTTCTTTTCCATGAAAATAAAATGAACCACTGAATAAATATAAAGAAGAATTAACCGAGTTTTTAAGGATTATATGTTCATTATTCTATCTTTTCCTGGGTCCTAAAATGATGAGTTCCTTATGATAGACTACCATCATGGTGGTTCTCAACCTCCCAAGATTTCCATCTCCAGAGATTCATGCCTTTGTGGGTTACGTTCTGAATTGTTCTGTGTGACCAATAAAACATGGCAGAAGTGATGACATATCATTTCTGATTCTAGGCTATAAAAGACTCTGCTGCTTCTGTCCGTTTTTCTCTCTCTCTGATCACTTGCTCTGGGAGAAGCCAACTGCCATTTCACTAATAGTCTATCATGTTAGTCTGTTTGCATTGCTATAAAGAAAACCAGAGACTGTGTAATTTATAAAGAAAAGATGCTTATCTAGCTCATGGTTCTGCAGGCTGTATAGGAAGCATGGTGCTAGCATCTACTTTTGGTGAGGGCCTCAGGGCCCTTCTGATCATGGAGCAACGTGTCACATGATGAGAGATGGAGCAAGAGACAAAAAGGGTGCCACGCTCTTTTAAACAACCAGATCTTGTGTGAAATCACAGTGAGAACACATTCATTACTGTGAGGAGGACGCTAAGCCATTCATGAGGTATCCACCTCCAAGATTCAAACCCTCCTGCTAGACCCACTTTCAACATTAGGGATCACATTTCAACGTGAAATTTGGAGGGGATAAACCATATCATTCTGCCACCAGCCCTCCAAATATCCTGTCCTCTCATGTGGCAAAAACCAATAATCCCTTCTTAATAGTCTCCCAAAGCCTTAACTCATTCTAGCATTAACTCAAAAGTCTCAAGTTCGCTGGGCGCGGTGGCTCACGCCTGTAATCCCAGCACTTTGGGAGGCCGAGGCGGGTGGATCACGAGGTCAAGAGATTGAGACCATCCTGGTCAACATGGTGAAACCCCGTCTCTACTAAAAATACAAAAAATTAGCTGGGCATGGTGGCACGTGCCTGTAATCCCAGCTACTCAGGAGGCTGAGACAGGAGAATTGCCTGAACCCGGGAGGCGGAGGTTGCGGTGAACCGAGATCGCGCCATTGCACTCCAGTCCGGGTAACAAGAGCGAAACTCCATCTCAAAAAAAAAAAAAAAAAAAAAAAAGTCTCAAGTTCAAAGTCCAAAGTCTCATCAAACACTCAAGGCAAGTTCTTTCTGCCTATGAGCCTATAAAATTAAAGAAATGAACAAACAAGTTATTTACTTACAAGATACAATGATAGAGCAAGTATTGGGCAAAGATTTCCATTCAAAAAAAAAAAAAAATTGGCCAAAGGAAAGGGACAACATGGCCCACACAAGTAAATCCCAGCAGGACAGACATTAAATCTTAAACTCCAAAAGAATCTTCCTTGACACCATGCCCAACCTGCTGGGCACGGTGGTGAAAGGTGTGGGTTCCCAAGGCCCTAGTAGTTCTGCCCCTCTGGTTTTGCAGGGTGCAATCTCTCTGGCTGCTCTCATGAGTCGGAGTTGAATGCCTGCAGATTTTCTAAGCTCATGGTGTAAGCTGCTGATGGCGCTACCATTCTCCGGTCTGGAGGGCAGTGGCTTCCTTCCCACAGTTCCACTAAGTAGTGCCCTGGTGGTCGGGACTCTGTGTGGTGGCTCCAAACCCATATTTCTCTTCAGCACTTCTTTAGTATAGTCTTTCTGTGGGGGCTCCACTCCTGCTGCAGGCATCTGCCTGGGCACTCGGGTGTTCCAATACATCCTCTGAACTCTAGGAGGAAGCCTCCAAGCCTCCTTCTCTTCTGCATTCTGCACATCTGCAGGCTTAACACCATGTGGAAACCACCAAGGTTTATGGCTTGTGCCATTTGGAGTTGTGACCTGAACTGTATCTGTGGTCCTTTTCACTGAGGCTAGAGATGGAGTACCAGGATTCTGGAAGCAGCATCCTGACCCTGCTCAGGGCAATGGAGCCCTGGGCCTGGCCTTGAAGCTATTCTTGCCTCCTGGGCCTCTGGGCTTGTGATAGGAGTGGCTACCTCTGAGACTTCTGAAATGCCAAGCACTTTTTCTGATGTCCTGATGATTAGCACTTGGCTTCCTTTTAGTTATGTTAGTCTCTTTAACAAGTGGTTGTTTCTTAGCCTACTTGGATTCATACCCTGAAAATGTTCTTTTCTTCTCTGCCACATAGCCAGGCTGCAGATTTTCCAAATTTGTATACTCTGCTTCCCTTTTAAGGACAAGTTCTAACTTTAAGTTATTCCTCTGCTTCCATATTTGGTCTTAGATTGTTAGAAGAAGTCAGGCTACATCTTGAATGCTTTGCTGCTTAGAAATTTCTTCTGTCAGATATGCTAAGTTATCACTCTTAAGTTCAGCCTTTCATAATACTGTAGAACATGGACACAATGAAGCCAAGTTCTTTGCTAGGGTATAATAAGGATGACCTTTGCTCTACTTCCCAATAACTTCTTCATTTTTGTCTAGGACCTTATCAGCTTGGCCCTCACTGTCTGTATTTCTTTCTTTATTTTATTTTATTTTATTTTTTTATTTTCTTTGTTCTTATAGCTTCTTGTTGGAAAAACGCTGTCTATATTTCTATCAGTACCTTGATCACAACCAATTAAACAGTTTCAAAGAAGTTCCAGACTTTCCCTTGTCTTCCTGTCTTCTTCAGAGCCCTCCAAACTCTTCCAGTGTCTGTCTGTTACCCAGCTTCAAAGCTGCTTCCGCACCTTCAAGTATCTTTATAGCAACATCCCACTCCTTGGTAACAATTTTCTGTGCTAGTTCACTTGTGTTGCTCTAAAGAAATACCAGAAGCTGGGTAATTTATAAAGAAAAGAGGTTTATTTTGGCTCATGATTCTGCAGGATGTATAGGAAGCATGGTGCTGGCAACTGCTTCTGGTGAGGGCCTCAGTGAGCTTCTAGCGACAGTGAAACAAGAGGGAGTAGCATGTCACATGGTGAGGGAGGGAGCAAGATAAAGGGAGGAGAGAACTGCCTGGCTCTCTTAAGTGACTAGATCTTGTGTCAAATCAGAATGAGAAGTCACTCATTATTGCAAGAAAGGCACTAAACCATTCATGAGGGAGCCACCTCCCTGACCCAAACACCTTCTACCAGGTCCACCAGGGGATGACATTTCAACATGAGATTTGGAGGGGATGCACATCAAAACCGTATCACCTGTGGAGGAGCCTGCATGATAAGAAACTGAGGACTTTTGTCAATGGCATGTGAATGACTTGAACTGGCTATTTCTTGGAAGCCGATCTTCTAGCCCTAGTCAATCCTAGGTATAACTGCAGTCTTGGCCAACAAATTGACTGAAACCTCAAGAAATCCTGAGTCAGAAAGACCCAGATAAGTCAGTCCAAGATTTTTGACTGTCAGGAACTTTGTGAGTTAATAGAAATTTGTCGCTTTCAGCTGCTAAGTTTTGGGGGTAATTTGCTATGCAGCAATAGGTAACTAACAAATTCCCCAAGTACAAAAATATATGTATTTGCTCATGGAATCCAACCCAGTGCTGGTCACATGGAGGGCATGCAATTCAACAGATACTTGAAAAACAAAAGTGAAATTAAAGGGAAGAATGACAGGGAGGCAGAATGTATGCAGGCACACTTGCCATTTATTCCCAGCTAGGAGGCTGGCTGTTTGTCTTGCCCAGATGGCCAGAATGATGCCATGAAGGTCTTTTCTTCAACTTCCTTGGCCTGATAACAAATGTGCTTCCAGGTGTGACAGACTGAGCCATTGTTTCAAATAAGCTCAGCCTTCTTCCCCTCTCTTTTTAAAAAAGCTGTCACTTTATTGAGGTATATTTGTAACACAAAAAACTGTGTTTAATTAATGTAGACAATCTGATGAGTTTGGAGATAAATACACACCCATGAAACCATCCCATAATCAGTCTACTTCTTTGTGGATGCAGTTCTATGTGTGATTCTGTAGATAAGGGAGACTTTCAGCCTAACAGTCAAGTGTGAAAAGGTGAGATAATATCATAATGAGGAGGAGGAATTTATTGTCTTTCAATATAACTATGTCTATGACTTCTTGTCTCTGTACACGCACTTTTCCTTCCCCATCTTTAGTTAGATCCTCTTCATTGCTCTAGTGTGTTATGTGCTATTCAGGGATTTGACCTCATGTAGGTGTGGGAGCTGGTGAAGGCAGTTGCCTTCATATTTGGTGATGGAGCTTGAAGGTACTCATAGAATGGGTACCTGGAAAATAAGATGGATATAAAATGGGGAGAGCAAGAAGATGCTGAAGTGCACCAGCTGAAGCCCGGGAGAACAGATGGAAACTCAGGCCCTTTCTTGTGTTCTCCTTACCCTTGATGGTGTGCATGTCTTGCAGAAGCCAGGGTTTATCACACGCAGCTGGCTCAGCAGTCAGAGTATCCGAAGGAGGACTGGGGGGAAGGAGGAGCAGCAGGAGGCCTGGCTGTGCCTCGCACCAAGGAGGTGCATCCACAGATGAAGGGTGAAAGCCAACGGCATGTGAATGACTTGAAGTGGCTATTTCTTGGAAGCAGATATTACATGGTGAGTTACATGGTGGTGGCTGCTTCATGTCAGCTTCAAATACTGCACTAGAGCCTTTATTTGGCTGTCTCTGACCAGAAACACACAAGAAAGGCAACTGTGGGAATGTTGTTCAGCCTGGCCAAGTGGACACCTTACAAAGCTGCCACATCTAGCCCCAAAGAGATTCTATCAGACAAAGCCAAAATAAAATGAGCCTATTTAATAACATTGTTTGTTTTAAATTGTACTAGAAAAGCAGTAATCAATTTTTCTGGTTGTCATGCCTCTTTGATGTTCTGAAAAATAATTGAGAATCTCAAACAGCTTTTGTTTATGTGGATCATAGCGATTGATATTTATCATTTTAGAAATTAAATAAATCTAAAAATTAACTTATTAAATTTATTTAAAAATAAGAATAACAAAGCTTTACATGTTAATATAAACACAGTTTCCAAATAAAGGCTATTTAGGGAGAAGAATGGTATTGATGTACATTTTTAAAATATCTTTAATTTATACCTTAATAAAAGGCAGCTGGATTCTCATAGCTGGCTCTGCACTTAATCTGTCATGACATCACTCATCATGTAGCCTCTGGAAAATTCCATCCTAGACTCATAAGGGGATGAGACGAATAATGTCTCATTGTTATCATGAAAATAGTTTTGACTTCATGAATCCCTTGAAAGGATCTTGGAGACCCCCCCCCCCCCCCGCCCAGGTCCCTGGATCATACTTTGAGAACCACTTTACTGGAGAAAAGCCCGTTGTTTACTGGAGAAAGATTTTGGTGAAGCACCGAGGAAGAAACTACAACTTAGAAGTTGTGGTTCTAAACCTCTGAGCATGAAGCCTGTGGCTACCCACAAGTGAATCCCCGAGGCAATGATCTGGATAATACAAGTCCAAACAACCCGCTAATGGCTCCGTTATTTGACTAATTCAGGTATTTGTCCTGGCCACTGCAAGAAAATAATGACAATATTTTGTCTCAGCAGATACTAAATAGTAAGAGGCAAAAGAATTGGAAAGAAAGAGGGCTAGGAAAAGGACAGGAACAGGAAAAAGAGGAAACAGGGAATGTCACTGGTGCAAGCATCTGTCTGCAGATCCCAGAGCCCATTTACTGTGAAGGAACGTGCTCTGGAGTTACGTGTATAGGCTCAGAAGAGATTGACCTTAAAGCAGTTTCACCAGGCTCTGGGATCAGTTTCCATGTCTTTCCTGAAGCTGTAGACAGTGGTCCAAGAATTCCTGGGTGGGAGGAGTGAACGCATTGTGAATATTTACACATTTTAATGCCCTTGACCCATCCCTAGCACGTTTACCAGGAGAATGCAAACCACAGTATTGTTCCGTTTGCCTGTTTATCACTGAGGTTTTCATGCGACTCAAAGTATTTTTGCAGGTTTCTTTCAAGAAGTATTTGTTTTAAAGTTGATTATAAGGCAAAACTCTTTTCTCCCAGAAAATATGAACATATTCATTGAGAAGCTAACTACGGTTCAAGATAATATAAATTTTTGCAATACCCTTCTTATAAATCAAAGTCCTTATTTGGAATCAAAGTCCTCTAAAAGATCAACATTTTTTGTTTGTTTGTTTTTACCAAGCTGTGGGCCTTAGCCCAGTTTTCAGAAATATTTTGGAAAAGTACCAGCTTGTGATACCAATCATCCAGACATTATTTGGACATAGTCACTATTTTTATGATCATTACCCTCTCATTGAACCTTCATGGAAAGAAGATAAAGTCATGGTCAATGTTTTCCTTAAAATAAACTTTAAAATGCAACATGATTTTCTTTTAAATTAAATTAAAATGAGCCATTAAAAACAATTTTATTTCAATCGTTTTTGGGGTACAGGTACTTCTTGGTTACATTAAGTTTTTCGGTGGTGATTTCTTAGATTTTAGGGCACCTGTCACCTGAGCAGTGTACACTGTACCTACTATGTAGTCTTTTATTGCTTATCCCCTTCCAGCCTTCCCCCATGAGTTCCCAAGTCCATTATATCATTCTTGTGTCTTTGAGTCCTCATAGCTCTGCTCCCACTTATAAGCAAGAAATATGATATTTGGTTTTCCATTCCTCAGTTACTTCACTTAGAATAATGGCCTCCAGCTTCAAGTTGCTGCAAAAGACATTATTTCATTCCTTTGTATGGCTGAGAAGCATTCTATGTTATGTATATATCACATTTTCTTCATCTACTGCACCCAGTCATTGTAATTTTTTTAATTGTTGTTTTCTTTCAATTTCTTTTAATTCTGATCTTATCTTGGTTATTTCTTTTCTACTGCTGGGTTTGGGTTTAGTTTGTTCTTGTTTCTGTAGTTCTTTGTGGTGTGACCTTAGATTGTCTATTTGTGCTATTTCAGATGTTTTGATGTCAGCATTGAATGCTATGAACTTTGTTCTCAGCAACACTTTTACTGTATCCCATAGGTTTTTGTAAGTTGTGTTCCTACTATCATTCATTTCAAATAATTTCCATCTTGATTTCACTGTTAACCCCAAAATTATTCAAGAGCAGATTATTTAATTTCCACGTATTTGTATAGTTTTGAGGGTTCCCTTTGGAGTTGATTTCCAGTTTTATTCCACTTTGGTCTGAGAAGATACTTAACTGATTTCTACTTTCTTAAATTTATTGAGACTTGTTTCGTGGTCTATCATATGGTCTATCTTGGAGACTGTTTCAAGTGCTGATAAGAATAATGTATATTCCACAGTAGTTATATAGAATGTTCTGTAAATAGCTGTTAAGTCCATTTGTTCTAGGGTATAGACGAAGTACATTGTTTCTTTATTGACCTTCTGTCTTGATGATCTGTTTAGTGCTATCAGTGGACAATTCAAGTCCCCCACTATTAGTGTGTTGCTGTATATCTTATTTCTTAAGTCTAGTAGTAATTGCCTTGTAAATCTGGGAGTGCCTGTGTTGAGTGCATATAAATTTAAGATTGTAATATCTTCCTGTTGGACTAATCCTTTATCATTATATAATGCCCTTCTTTGTCTTTCTTTTCTTTTTTTTTATTGTTGTTGCTTTAAAGTCTGTTTAATCTGATATGGGAATAGCTACTCCTGCTTGCTTTTAGTTTATATTTGCATGGAATATCTTTTCCCACCCCTTTGTCTTAAGTTTATATGAATCCTTATGTGTTAGGCGAGTCTCTTGAAGTCAGCAGCTATTTGGTTGGTAATTTTTTTATCCATTGTGTCATTCTGTATCTTTTAAGTGGAGCATTTAGTACATTTACATTCAACTTTAATACTGAGATATGAGGTACTGTTCTATTTATTCTGTTGGTTGTTACCTAAATACTTTGTTTTTCATTGTGTTATTGTTTTATAGGCCCTTTAAGATTTATGCTTTAAGGAGCTTCTATCTTAATTGGTACTGAGCTTTTGTTTCAAGGTTTAGAACTCCTTCTAGCATTTCTTGTAGTGTTGGTTTGGTAGTGGCAAATTCCCTTAGCATTTGTCTGAGGGACAATTTATCTTTATCTGTTCTTCATTCATAAAGCTTAGTTTTGTTGAATACACAATTCTTGGCTGACAATTATTTTGTTTAAGAAAGCCAAAGATATGTCCTGGATCTTTTCTGGCTTATAAGATTTCTGTTGAGAAATCTGCTGTTAAACTGATAGGTTTTCCTTTATAGTTTACCTGATGCTTTTGTCTCATAGCTCCTACAATTCTTTCCTTTATGTTGACTTTAGACAACCTGATGACTATGTGCCTTTGTGATGGTCTTTTTGCAGTGCATTTCCCAGAAGTTCTTTGAGCTTCTTTATTTGGATATCTATATCTCTAAGACCAAGGAAGTATCAAAGACCAGGGAAGTCTTTCTTAATTATTCCCTCAAATAAGTTTTCCAAACTTATAGACTTCTTTTCTCCCTAGGAACACCAATTAGAGTTGGCCATTTTACATAATCCCGTATTTCTTGAAGACTTCATTTATTCTGTTTCTTTCTCTTTTCTGATTGGGTTCATCCTAAAGTCTTGTCTTCAAGCTCTGAAATTCTTTCTTCTATTTGTTCTAGTCTGATGAGCAACTTTTATATCATGTCTTTTCTGATTCTAAAACTGTTGCATATTTATCATACCAAAATTGGATAAAACAGTACGTTAAAAATCACGTGTAAACCTACTACTGCTCAAACATATGTTTTAGTGTATGTTTCCTCAATAACTTTTTCAAACCCTATCTTTGTATACAGTATATACATGCATGCATATCTGTATGTATGACTTTTAAACAAAATTGAGTATTGCATCAAAGTTTTGATAAGCCCAGGGCATCCATTTTGAGTATCTCGATGAGTTGAAATTTCCCCTGTGTGAGAGAAGGAGTTGGCTTATATCTCTGTGTGGTGATTTGGGCTGGGAGTGACTCCAGTATTGCTCCATGGTCACTAGCTTATGAAAATCTCCCTGTAGGTAGGAGTAAGGTGTCCAGAGACAAAGTAGCTTTGAGTCCCTATGTGTCAGTAAAGGGCACAGGATGAGGGAAGATTTGGGATGTTGGGCATAATAATTCTCAGCCAGGAGAAGGAGAGACCCATGCCCACCCCAGTTCTTAGCTGGCAGCATGGCAGCACTGGCATTCAGCCTCACAAAGGTGATGGGGCTCAGAGAGCAGGAATTGGTCAGGAAAAAGGGGCCAGACAGGGGCCAGTTTCTGTTTGTGTCTTTGTAATAGAACTGTTTATATTCCTTTGGATATATATCCAGTAATGGGACTTCTGGGTCAAATGGAATTTCTATTTCTAGGTCCTTGAGGAATCGCCACACTGTCTTCCACAATGATTGAACTAATTTACACTCCTACCAACGGTGTAAAAGTGTTCCTATCTCTCCACATCTTCTCTAGCATCTGTTGTCCCCAGATTTTTTAATGATTGCATTTTAACTAGCATGAGATGGTATCTCAATATGGTTTTGATTTGCATTTCTCTAACGATTGTTATGATGAGCATTTTTTCGTATGTTTGTTGGCCTCATATATGTCTTCTTTTGAAAAGTGTCAGTTCATATCCTTAGCCCATTTTTGAATTTTTTTTTTCTTGTAAATCTGTTTTAGTTCTTTGTAGATTCTGGATATTACCCCTTTGTGAGATGGGTAGATTGCAAAAATTTTTTCCCCATTCTGTTGGTTGCCAGTTCACTCTAATGATTGTTTCTTTTGCTGTGCAGAAGCTGTGGAGTTTAATTAGATCCCATTTGTCTATTTTGGCTTTTGTTGCCAATGCTTTTGGTGTTTTAGACATGAAGACCTTGCCTATGCCTATGTCCTGAATGGTTTTGCCTAGGTTTTCTTCTAGAGTTTTTATGGTGTTAGGTCTTACATTTAAATCTTTAATCCATCTGGAGTTAATTTTAGTGTAAGGTGTCAGGAAGGGGTCCAGTTTCTGCTTTCGGCACATGGCTAGCCAGTTTTCCCAACACCATTTATTAAACAGGGAATCCTTTCCCCATTGCTTGTTTTTGTCATGTTTGTCAAAGATCAGATGGTTGCAGATGTGTCATGTTGCCTCTGAGGCCTCTGTTATGTTCCATTGGTCTATATCTCTGTTTTGGTACTAGTACCATGCTG